TGAAAGGGCGACGGCCTTGAGATATTACCATTGAGCGGACCCGCCCCAGGCAATTCATTAGTAGTTGGTTTTACAACTCCTACTCATCAAATTCCATCATCTGGATTCGAACACAGGTCTGTATTTCAACAGTTCATGGGTGTGGTCCCCACTGATCTAAGCTCTTGGGTCTCTTCTTCTTCTTCTTCTTCTTTTTTTTTTTTTTTTTTTTTTTGGTTGAATTGAATTGAATTGAATCTCAGGTCTCTACTGAATTTTTGGACAGGTGTTGCCAGTGCCAAAATGTGCCCCAATTTCTAATTTTGGCCCCCATGCAACTGCGTTGCGCCGCACACAACCCAACCTTCCCCTTTTTTTTTTTCTTTTTTTTTTCCCTCTGTTCAAAAGTCGAAAGAGGCTGTGCACAGTACTGTACTGTAGGTAGGCTTAGCTTGTGTGTACCTTGGGAGTGCTTTGTCAGCTTAGGTTGATCTCTGTGGGTTTTGATTCTGTGGTCTTTTTTTTTTTTTTTTTTTTTTTTTTTTTTAATGCTGTGGTATTTTGTTGGCACACTATAGAGTAACTCTTTCCTGCTGGTAGTGATAAAAAATCGTAAAAATGTTTTTCTTGGGCATTTTTGGGCATTTCTTGCTGTTGTGGTAGGTTAGCTGAGATAGGGCATTTGTCATTGCAGTGGCTGACCCCTTCGAATCAGGCCGGTGATGCCTGGATCCCAGGAGGAACTGCGTAAGCATTGTGAGGGACGCCGGACCCCTTTCCTGGCTTGTATATATAAAAAAGACGGAGTGTGAAAGAAAAGAAAAGAAAAGAAAAAGTCGAACGTGGACCGCACGTATCAATTGTTTGATTTTTTTTATCTGCATTTTCAGGACGAGGATATGTATATAATATATATGAGTCGGTCAAACTCCGGCGAAACAGTTTGTCACCCTCTCTGCCTATGGTTCACCACGCAGCTCTGTTTGACTATGTATATATATCTATAAACATATATTGTAAAACAGAACTGGCTGGTAAACTGTAGGCAGAGACTGAGAAGAGGAGAACAAACGAGGGGCTGCAACAAACTGTTTTGTCGGAGTTTCACCAACTCATCAGGAGGCTGAACCCTATGTTTTTTTCGGAGGGCAAGTACGTTGAAGTCACAGGTGCTGTTTGCAATGAGCAAAGACATCACTCCGTAGGCAGGTGTGTCGCGGCTGAGTTTGAACAGGCAAAAAAAAACAAAGGCCTCAGCAAAAGAAACACGTGGACATATCGCCCTCCCTCCCGGAGGGCACAGTCGCACACGTTCTCCAGATTCTGTTCTTCTGTATCCAGCTGCTTTCACGACCATAGCAGTGTTGCTCTTGCTTTTCTTTTTTTCGTCATTGCTTTTTTTTTCCCACTGCCGTGATGACCGTGGGCGGCGTGGGGCAATGACGCCGTCAAGGAGGGTGCACTCTCACACCGTTTCCAGATTCTGTGTCCACCTGCTTTCACGACCATAGCTCGTCCTTTTTTTTTCCCTTTTTTTTCTTTTTTCATGCGAGGCCTAGACATCTGGGCTGTGGCCTGGACATCTCAACCGTGGCCCAGCCACAGGCGTGGTCTAGACATCTTCGGCCGTGGCCCAGCCACAGGCGTGGCTGGCCTAGACATCTTGGCCGTGGCCCGGCCACAAAATGAAAAACAAAAACAAAAAAAAAGCCCCCCCCCCAAAGAAAAAAACAACAAAAAAAAAGCAAGCCCCCTGCCCCCCAGCCACAGGCGTGGGTGGCCTAGACATTATCTCGGCCGTGGCCCAGCCACAGGCATGGCCTGGACATCTTGGCCATGGCCTAGCCACGGGCATGGCCAAGACGTGCCGACCATGGCCCAGCCACGGGCGTGGACTAGACAACTTGGCCGCGGCCCAGCCACAATTGTGGCCTAGACATCTCGGCCGTGGCCCGGCCACGAAATGAAAAACGAAAACAAAAAAAAGAAG